CCTGTGGTTCCGGTTCCCGACCGACCCTATTTTTTTTTGCCGACCCTATTATTTTTTCAACGTGATTGACCGTGCGACCCTATTTTCTCCAGGTGGTTGCGGGCTGCTCACACAGCGTGCCAAAATGGCGTCTGTTGTCACACTAATTATTGAACCAAATTGCCTAAATTCGTCCATAGGAAACACGCATCTCTAGTTAACATTGATGTCGGGACTCTACAGCAAATCGCCCAGCAAAAAACCGCCAAAACCATGAAAAAAATATTCAAAAAAATTAATTTCCGACCCTAATTTTTTCACGATATGAAACCGGAACCACAGGTATATTTTTTTACGCCAAATTAATCAGGTCCGCGAAATCTCCATGCATTTTAGTTACAGATATAGGACGATATAAATTACATTTCTCTCCCGTTTTTTATATGGATATTTAATGATATTTAAATCTCAATATGAAAATATTTTTCATATTTTAGCCGAGGATTTTAGCAAATGCATGTTTATACATAATAGAATTGAAGGCGACTGCATGCTCTCCAACGGAACAATTATGTGGTCAAGAAAATATATTGTGTACTTAAACTTGACTGGCAGCGAAGATGATCTTTCGAATTCCACATACGAGCAGATTACTTTTGAAAAGTTTTGAGAAACTTCAGTCTTTACAGGAATTTCATCGACTTCAATTCGGAATATTAAAATATGGAGATATTTAATTTAAAATGTGCGTTGCTCTTACCAGTTGTAGGAATACCAGGCGTTGTAGTCATTTCATTCTCAGTTGTAGGAATACCAGGAGTGACGTACTAAATTGAAAAAAACAAAATATCGAAACAATGAAACATGGAGATAAAAATTCGGAAGAGAAATCACGCTATTGTTTCAAGAGTTCGTTTTAGACCATGAACTGTTACGTATCCCGCATACTTTAAGTATACGTACCAATTGTTTTGTAACATCGATAAAAAACACCCAGCCTTGATCATCATAATATGCCATGTTGTTCTTGCCAGTAGTGTTGCTGAGTTGGCAGTTTACTGATGGACTGTTTGTACCAAATTTGTATTTAAATCCAGCACATGTTGGCTCATTACCACAGTTAAATGAACAGTCGATTTCAGAAGGGACACTGTGGTTGGATATAATATCTTGCCATGCCAAAGCTGGAACTATTAAAATAATTACAGCAGTCACTCAGTTATTGAACAAGCCATCACCCATGCAAATGATTTAATCAACCAACAACCACCTAAGCGGCCATTCAACGAGTGAACCAGCAGTTACACAACATCTCGTCAAACCAACAAGCGTGAGGCTTTCATCTTATATCAAATTGCTAATAAAACTTAATAAAATTTAACCGTTTAGGAAATACGAACAATTACATGTTGATATTATTATTATTCTGTTGAATAAATGACCATGTTGATATTATTATTATTCTGTTGAATAATAAACCAAGCGTTGGAGAGTCGAAACCAAGTCGACGCTGTGTATTTGGACTTTGCAAAAGCGTTTGACAAGGTTAGTCATAAGCTTTTGTTGATTAAACTTCACAAGTTTGGAATAAGAGGTGACCTACTAAGTTGGTTTGAAAATTATCTCTCCGGCCGCTACCAGAGAGTCACTGTTCTGGGTGAGACCTCGGGTACACTCCCTGTACTGTCTGGAGTTCCTCAGGGATCAATCTTGGGGCCCCTCCTTTTCCTAGTATATGTGAACGATCTTCCACATTCCATCTCGGGCGAATCAACTGTGGCAA